TGGACGTGCGTGACCAGCGGCACAAGCGACTAGGAGCGGGACAATGCCCAAAGAAGCGATGGTAGGTGGCCCGGCAGGCGTGGATGATAATGCCGGCCAACCAATGGTCAATGCCCTAAGCGCAGCAGTATAGCTGCCCAGCAAATTTGTCTGAGCAGGCCCAACATGGGGCGGGCGTGAGCTGCCCCAAGGGGCGTGCCCAAGAATGGCGCGAAGTCGGCCCAAAGAGCGGCAAGGTCCCACCCGGCGCCTGCATTCCAACCGGGCGGCCCGATAACGGTAGAGGCCACCCCAAGACGAGAAGGCCCATCGCGAGCGATCGGCCCTAGCTGCCAAGCGGCACGTGGTGGTCTTTTTGCAGTGAGACACCTATACTTTCCTCAAATTACTCCCTAAGACAAAACACTATTCCTCGGTGACACGTATTTGCGTAAAGAACCCTGTACAAAATGTTTTCTTGGATTTATACCCTTGCTCACCATGCTTCATCTTTTCTAGGAGCGGAGGCGCTCGGAGCAGAGGAGCTGAGGAGCTTCGACCGGCAGTGGAGACGCTGCGGTCACGACGGCACGCTGGGCGGCGAGTGCCGCATGGAGGCTCGCGCATGAAAAGGTCAAGGAGGGAGAGAGCAGTGCAGCGGGCAGCCATGGCATGGCCTGGGCGGCACGCCACGCGGCACGAGGAGCGGGAAGGAGAATGCTGCGGCTCGGGAAGGAAGGCGTCGCACACACGACGCGGGGAAGGAGAACGACGATGAAGGAAGGCGTGCGAGGGGCTTGGGTGCACGGACGGGGCACGGCAGCCCGGCGCGCAACTGTGGGCAGCCGCGGGAGCAGGAAGGCGGCGTGCCGGACCAGAGCGAGGAAGGAAGAGCAGGGCACCGGTGCTGGAGGCTCTGGCGACCGTGGACCGGACACGGCGAGGACAGGGGGTGCGGGCGTAGGGAAGGGAGAACCGAGTGCGGTGGGAGGCACTGCGACTGTGGACGCCGCCTAGGTGGGTGCTCGGCTCGGAAAAACAACGAAGACGAAGGGCGCAGCGCCGAGGCGGTGTAGATGAACCCGCGTGAGCAGCGCGAGAGAGAAACGAGGACGGCGCCGGTGCTCGCGTAGTACCGTGCTGCGGGGCAGCGGCGGGGGAGCGTGGAAGCAGCGTAGAAAAAGAAGGAAAAAGCAATGCCAAGGAGGCAACGTCGTACGCAAATGCATGACAGACAACCAAGGCAGACACGACAATCAACGGAGACACGAAGGTAGACGTGAGAGAGGGAGACATCACCTTCATCGGCGCGATGCGAGACATAACCACGTGCAGGCAGTGCACGGCAGCAGCAGCCCGGTCATCTTCCATTAATTAGGGACCGCGACGACGTGCCCCGGCAACGTTGCAGAGCAACGGGACAACAGAGGCAGGTAAAAAGTAGTACACGGCAGTAGCAACGATGAGCCAGGAGTACTGGCGTAAAAGACAAACAGAGTCCGAGAGAGGGAGCAAGAGGGAGCAGGACTAACTCGACTTCACTCTGCCATGGCGCGACGTTAATAATTTGGATGACGGATTTATTCAGAGCAAGGGAGACGCACCACTGTACTCAACGTCCAGAACACAGTGCAGCAAGGACAACAATGCATTTTAAATATAATCTCATATGTTGACGCGAAAAGCTGATTTTTATTTATTTTATTTTAAGTTTTAACACACGATTAACTTCCACCAATAATTATTTCACGTAAAAGTTCATACGTCGCACTAACCCATAGAGACAAAAATATTTAAGCGCTATTTAATTACTTTACTCACTATCGTTTGCTAAAAATGGCATTTTAAACATAAGCTCAATATTTAAATTTTTAAAATCCGAGAAACTTGTTTAGGAAATTTTTCTTAGGCCTAAATCGTGGTGCTAACGAGATCGTAACACCGGGGTGTTACAGCGTGCTGGCGGTCGGTGTAGAGCAGGAGCTAGGTCGAACCGCGGCGCGGCCGCTGCCTCCCAAGCCGCAATTGGCGGCTGTAGCGGCGAGCGGATGGAGCAATTCGTCTGGCATGTCCCTACTCCCCCGGTGGGGAGAGAGGGCGCATGTCGGAATCGCGATGGAGAGCTTTCCGCCTATTGAACGGCGGTGGCTTCTACCAGCACCCGGAGGTTCCGGTAGACCGCCCACTCCTAGGGGTCGACGGGCTCAGGAACGCCGCGCAGAAGCATTGCCGCAACAACAATGTTCTGGCTAGCCCGAGCGAACTGTGGGGGATCGTTCCCCTGGTTCATGATGTCGCGTTGGACCTGGCAGGCGCGACCCCGGGCGTCGCCCGCCAGGTCATGCGCATGGGGCGCAACGTGCTGCACCGAGCATGCCGGCGCAGTGGTGGCTGGTTCTGCTGCCGTTGTTGTAGTTCATCGGCGTGCTCTTGCGCAAACACGAGGGCCCCCGCACGTGGGTCCGGAGCGGTGTGAGTCTGCATAGACTCCACAACCACAGGCGGCTATCCCGGAGCGTCCACCATAGCGCACTCCCGGGACGGACGGTGGCTAGGTGCCACGTCTCCGATGCTAGAGTCGTCGCTCTCACCCTCATCATTTGGGAGTTCGTGTAAAGGGGTAGGAGCATAGCTCGCCATTCCCATGAATTTACATGTGAGAGGGGATGGCGCCAGCATCCTTCGGAGCCCCCGAGCGCACGCGTCCACGGGAGACACGAGGCCATAGGGGAACCGATCGTACGGTGTTCGTGGTGCGGTTAATACGGTCCCTCCGAATAATCAGCGGAAGATAGTAAATAGAGAGTAAATAACAGTATGCATATTACTCATAGCGGGGTTTGAGCAGAGAGTTTGCTCGGAATGAAGCGCAGATGCCTCGTCGTTGAAGTCGTCGTGTGTCCCGGAGCTGATGGAGGGCGCCCCTCCGACGGGCGCCGGAACAAGTGCCTCCTCACGGAGGTGTAGTACGCCAAGCTGGTCGGTGACGAAGTCTAGGCTTCCGAAGAGGAAGGCCTGGGACGGCTCGAAGATGGGTGGAACCCATATCCCAACAGGTGGGAGTGCGGGAAACTCCAGTGAGCCTAAGCGAGTCGTATCACTTGAGCCCGCCATGGCTAAGGTGGCGGAAAAGTGGGCCATCCGTTGACAAAAAGTGTTGAATGTACCACGTCTTCCCACGGACGGCGCCAACTGTCGGTGTAGAAAGTGACCAACACGTAAATATTTGTAGTTTTGCCGTACATTGTGATCGGAGGTGGCCTAGCACTCAATGACATAGGGTTTATATTGGTTCAAGCAACATGCCCTACGTCCAATTTGAGTCGGTCGGTGACTTTATTCCTGAGCTCAGGTCCTCGAAGTTTGTAGGGGGGTTACAAATGAGAAGGAGAAAGATGGGGGTACAAGAGGTCGGTCGGACTCTAGTTAGAGGGACCGAGAGCGACGGGAGCTCTGCTATGTGCTAGGTGTTCGAGCGTGTGCTCGTGGTTTGAACCTAGCCGGTTCTGCTGTTGTGTACAAGTAAACTTGATCGGTCCGAATCAACCTATCTGTTGGAAGAGAGCGCATCCCCTTTTATAGATGAAGGGGATAGCATTTACAAGCGAGAGGGAGAGAGTACGTTCGCTGCTAAGTCTTGCTGCCCACGCCGACGGGTACAGGATGATGGTAGGCGCCCACAATACTGTTTGAATGTTAGGTGTATGTGGGAGGTTGTGTTGTCTTCTTCGGGTATGGAAGACGTCAGCGCCTGTCACACTGTTGATACCTGGAGGCATGCAAGGGGTTTTACCATGTTCGCCTGGTACGGTAAATGCCGGTGCCCACAACACTGTCGATGCTCAGAGGCATGTGGAGGGAGCCTTACCGTATGGGAGTTAATGGCGCCCACAATACTGTAGGGAAAATGTCGGTGCCTACAACACTGCTTGGGTTCTATCGTGCCAGGGAGGTCGCAGAGTACTGTTTCTGTAGGTGTACAGGGTATGGTCCCCGGTATTGCGGTTTGACTTGTGTGCCCTGCCTTTCTTTCTCCGTCCGTTTCCTGGTCCTTACCGAGCGGGCGTCCCCAGTCGGTTGGTCCTAGTCGGCCCTGATCGCGCCAGTCGGAGAAGAGCAGTGAGCAGGGGTTTAGCGGATCCCCGGTCGGGAGGCGAGGTTGGAGTCGGAAGCGGTGTTTAGCCAGGCCTTCCGGTCGGAGAGGCCGTCCGGAGGTGGGCTAGAGACCGAAGCGAGCGCTCCGGTCAGAGAGGCGGGCCGGAGTCGGAAGTGGGTGCCATTCCTCCTCGGCCAGGCCTTTCGGTCGGAGATTGGTTCGCCCCTCTAGCCTGTCGTTTAGGTGCTTGGGCTGGCCCATGAGTTGCGCGTTGTCTACTTGGGCTGAGCTTTTGTTGGGAAGCCGGTCCGCAAGGGACTCCGGGTTTATGAACCCGACACCTTACTTCCTTGGTTCCAAAATAAATGCACATGTTCTATATTGAGGAGTCAACTAATCTTAAGTTTAGTCAGATATATGATATCAAATACGCATCATTAGACTAATTATGCCATATATTCTTATAGTAAACTTATTTATAGATATAAATGTTAATAGTATTTTCTATATTCTATAAATCTAGTTAAACTTAAGATAGTTGATTCCTCGAGGAAGTTGATTGCAATCGTCGACTCATTGACAGAAAAATAAATCACTCATTCACATTGCATAGGGCCGGGGAGCAATAATCATGACACAAAAATAAATTTCAGCTCAATTGCATGCCTTTGTATTTCTTATAATGTGGAATACAAATAAAATGACAAGCATTGATCCCTTGAGTGGACCGATTACATTATTACAGATCCATCGATCGGTGGATCCATGGAGGACCATGGGCGTGACTTAGCTTGTCGAACTTTATCGGAGGCCAAACAAAAAGGGGAAACCAAATTTCATGGACAGGCATATGCATAGCACATATAGATAGATGCATGATCTATCGTCCATGCATGGATAGGCAGATATCACCAGGTACGAGCATTTATGGGATGTCCAACTTCTGATCCAGGTTAGGGTCCCTGGGTCCCTGCTCTTTGGCGATCGCAGCGCAATTCTTCATGCACTCCTCCGTGCTCATGCCGAGTGGGCCTGTGACCTCGGCGCACCCGGCCTTGCAGTCCATGGCGGCCGCCGGAGGGGCAGCCTCCAGCGCGAGCGCGACGAGCAGCAGCGCCGCCACGACGAGGACCATCTTCTTGGACGCCATCTTTGAAATCTTCTCTTTTTGTGGTGTCTGTTGGTTTTATTGGTGCGAGATGTTGTATCCAGTGCCTTGGCTTATATAGGCCAGGAAGTAGTAAATTGGGAAACAGCGAGCGTGTATGTGAGGCCATGAGAGCTTCGCGCTCTACCGTGCAACTGTATGCGTGCATGCGTGCGCTTTTGAGCATGTGTGTCCGGAGACAGGTGCGAGCGTGCGGCGTTCCCATTACAGGGGATCCTAGAAAATAGAGAAGCTATATATTGCGTGTGTGATGTGTTTAGCTTCATCACCGTTGGATCCGCACTCCCCACATCATCTGTGCCCTTCATAGGACCGCACGCGTCCTCCTCCTGTTGTCTCTGTTTTGTCAATGACTTCCAAGTGAGCCCCACGTTAAGGCGTTCTTGGAAATAGCACCGTTGATTTTTTTTCTTAGAGCATCTCCATTATGAATAGAAATTTTGGTAAAAACTACCCTTCAACAACTTTTCTAAATGATCATCAAATATAGCCATCTTCTATTCCGGATTTTTCGCTAGCCAAAAATAGAAGACCGGAATGGCTCTCTAGAGTGCGCATGAGATATAGAAAAACTATTGGAGAGCGAAAAGATATAGAAAGTGATTTTTATACAACTGACTCTCCAAATGATGATTTAGAAAGTAAGATTTAGAAAGGCTCTTCGAGATGCTCTTAGATCAGTTTTAATGGAATTTTCACGTGAGTTTATTTGCATTTCCACTTAGGCGAGTCTCAGAAGAGAGGAGTTTCATCTCTTAGCACAATTATCAACTCTACATGAGTTATTAAATTAAATGTCTATAAAACTATAGAATGAAACTATACATTTGAGGATGGATGTTGCATCCATGTTTCATTACCTTTGAGATGTACTCATCCATTCCAAATTATAAGTCGTTTTAAATTTTTTGGTATATAAAATTTGCTATGTATACAGACATACGTTATATCTAGATGCATAACAATATGAATGCACCAAAAAGTCAAAACAACTTCGGTACGCCTAGCGCACGGCGTCCGGACAAAACGTCACGTCCAGACGCGGTCTCGACACCTGTGCCACTCCCGTGTCCGCATTCCTTCTCACTCCCCGCGTCTCGCCCCCAGCACCCGCGCCCGCGTCCATCGCAGGGACCCGCACCCCTCTCCCACCCGCGCCCCACACAGCAACAGCCACCGGCCGTGCCGTGTAACACCCCGATCCACTTTTGCAACATTCAGATGAAACCTTTGCAACATACGTCTAAAACAGATGAAACATTTGGAACATATAGTGGAAACACCATTGCAACATGTGCAACATCCCGATCTACTTTTAAAACATCCGGATGTAACACTTGCAACATACTCCATCCAGAAAAACATGCAATTCTAGCACAGTGTCATGGTATAGTATCACAAGTTTAATTAATTATAGAAAAATATCAATATTTATGATTTCAAATAAATACCATTAGATTAATTAAGAAATGTATTTTATTAATAAATTAATTTGAAGTCATAAATATGAAAAGTATTCACTAGAAATTTGATCAAATGTAAATTACTTTTGCTGGTGCGCAACCCGTTGCATATTTTCTTGGATAGAGGGAGTACAAAAGAAGACATATGAAACACTTGAGATATGTGTCTGAAACATTTGCAACATATATGTACAAAAAACAGATGAAACATTGGGGATATAAACTTGCAACATACGTGTACAACCATTGCAACATATGCAATATCCCGATCTACTTTTGCAACATCCGGATGAAACAATTGAAACATACATCTGAAACAACTGAAATACTTGAAACATGGGCTTGTAACATGTCTAAAAAGCATCCATAAACACTTGAAACATAGCATCGCCACACGTCCATGACCTACCTAGTGGGCAATTGTGGTGGCGCGGGCTCGCTAGATGGTGTGCGCCCGCACGCCCACCATGCCCGCCGTCGCCGAGGGAGAGGAGACGCTATCGGATCTAGGGAGGGCACCTTCGACCGGGGTAGAGGAGGGTTAGTGGCTTGCTTGGATCTCATCGGGGTGGGGGAGAGAGCCACCAGATCCGCAGGGATTGGACTCACCTAGTGGGTAAGGACGCCAGGGTGGGGGAGAAGGACACCGGGTGAGGGAAGGAGCCACTGGGGTGGGGGAGGAGGATGCCGGGGTAGGGGAAGGAGGACGCGGGTGGAGGAAGGAGCCACTGGTGAAAGGTCCCTAGTTTGGTTTTGGTAATTGAATAACAACCTAGATGGACTAATGTGTTTAAATGTGAAGATACACATGTGATTAGTCCATAGGTACACTTGTGTGAGCAACTCATGCCATGACGGTGAAGATGGCTTGGATTTGTTGCAAGGCTCACACATATGATGAAAGAGCTCATTGCATATGAGACATGACATGGAGTCATGTGACTAAGGTTTAGAAGATCAAAACAAGACTTGGCTTGATGGACCGGTTGCAAGCATGAAGGGCAAGTTGGAGGCTTTGGAGCGATGGACTGCGTGGCGGTGAAGCTTGAGCAAGACTTGGCGCCGATGGATGAAGGCAATGGTGAAAAGCAAGTGAGGTCAAGATCGATGAACCAACAAGGTCATGTGATGATATGAAGTGGATCATATCATTTGTGATATGGTTGGTGCATGTGTTGCATCAACACCGAAGGAGATGGAATAGAATGCGCAAGGCAAAGGTATATTTGTAGGGCATTTCAATTCACTAGTCATAGGTGTGTAGAGAAGTTTATGACCGGGTTTAGGATAGATGGTCGTACTATCAAGAGGGGCAAACCTGTTTGCATATCGGTCATCTAGTGTCACTCGAGTGATCTAACTTTGCTTCGTTGCTAGGATCGAGTGGCATGGCAAGTTGAGTGGCTAATCCTTTGAAAAATGATTGTGAAAATGCTAACACACATGCACATGATTGTGTACACTTGGTGGTGTTGGCACATTTGCTAAGGAGAAGTTGTTCGAGTTGAATTGGATCAACTTGAAGCGAGAAGGGTTTTTGGTGTGCTCCAAACTATGCGATGGCTATTGGATTGGAATTCTATGTTGAACCATTTTTCTTTAGATCAAATCTACTAGTAGGTTGTGTAGCCCTCCGAGTAAGCTTTTCAAAATATCCAAGATCATCGAATTCGAGTTCGGAGCTAAGAGTTATAGCTGTTTTAGCGTTGAAAGGTCTATGACCGGACTCTACAACCTGCGAGTCCGGTCAGTACCTGTGAGTCCGGTCAGTGTTTCTTTTGCATGTAGAAGCGACTGGATGCTAGGGGAGTCCGGTCAGTGATGACCTGATGCGTCCGGTCATCAAAAGAGCTCTATGGAACCTCTCTAGAAGTGACCTGACTCTGGGAGAGTCGAGTCCGGTCATGGGAGAAAGCAGAGTCCGGTCAATTGTGCAGAGATGCGTTGGTAACCGAACTCGGCCTCGACGCGTCTGGTCGTTGGACCTAGGCGCGTCCGGTCAGGAGTATGCGCGTGCGGGAGTTAGCAGTTGGAGCCCAATGGTCGGCTTTGAAAGGAGGAGATGCGTGGCATCATCCTAGCGATCAGACTCTGTGACCTGCGCGTCCGGTCGTTGACCTACGTGTCCGGTCGTTATGACTTGCGAGCCCGGTCAGTGCATGTTTTGCCCAGTGAAAGGGCAACGGCTCTTTTAGCCCTTGGGGCTATAAATATTAGTGGTGGCCAGCCTTGGGCTGGTTGCTGAGCACCCTCACGCCTATGTGGCTTGTGTAGGAGTGCTTGGATGCCCTCTAACTCACTTGTGCTTGCAAGAGTGCGAATCGATTGCGAGTGAGTATGATTTTAGTGCGTTGCATTGTGAGATTGTATCTAGTGGCACTAGGTGTTTGAGTTACAAGCCGGTGGTGCTTGTTACTTTTGAAGGTTGCCACCTCCTAGATGGCTTGGTGGCAGTCTCCATCGAAGAAAACAAAGAAGATTGTGCAGTGCTCTGGAGAAGTGATTGTGAGGAGTGTTGTGCTCGCCCCGCGGGAGCCGCAAAGAGCAACTCTAGTTGAGCGTGTCATTAAGCTATCCTCACTTGTGGGTAGGTTCTTGCGGTGCCCAATGAGTGGACTTGGTGGGTGATGCCAATTAGCCACCGAACCACCAAGTGAGTGGTCGACACAACGGGGACAAGCTTGGTGGCAACCAAGTGAACCTCGGGATAAAAATCACCATGTCATCCTTGTCTTCCCGTTGGTTTGCATCCCCTTTACATAAGCTTGTATTTACATTCATATACATTGTGCTTGTGTAGTTACTCTTATAATTAGTTAGCTTGTGTAGCTTGCTAGTTACCTTCTTGCTTGTGTAGCATAGAAGTAGCTTTAGCGTGACTAATTTGGTTTGAGTAACCTTGTTAGTCATATTGCTTAGTTTGTGTAGCTAAGTATTTTACGCTCTCTAATTTGGCTTGTGTAGCCTTGTTATTGAGCATTGCTAGTAAGCTTAGGTGGCTTTGTGATATTGCTTACTAGATTGTGTAGGTGCTCCCCGGTTTGCTTGAAGTACTAGTTGCATTGGTTTGTGTGACCTTGCAAGCTAGAATTGGATAGGTGAGCACTAGCTAGCCCGGCACCTTTGTTGCCTCTTTAGAATCTTTATAAGGTGTTTGTGAACTTAGATAGAGGGGTGTAGTCTTGGCTAGACCAATAGTTTTAATTCGCATTTGTTGTGGTTAGCCGATGCGATTAAGTTTTAGAAAGGACTATTCACCCCTCCCCCTCTAGTCCGCCTTCTCGACCCTACAACCGGGGTGGTAGAGGAGCACATCGGGGGTGGGAGAAGGAGTCGTCGCCGGTCAGGGAAGCAGCGATGGCCACATCATCGATTGTGGGGCAGGACGCGAAGGGACAAGAATGTGGAGGGGCGCAAGCACGCGGGAATGAGCGATGGGGAGGCGTCCGTCTGTCCGGTTGTCTTAATCATATCATTATCGAAGCGACTTATATTTTGGAACGGAGGGAGTAGCAGTCT